GCACAGCTCTGTGACTACACTAAAAACCACTGAATCACTTTGTGGGTGATTTTTATGGTATATGAACTATATCAATAAAGCTATTAAAAATGAAGGCAAAATAAAGATATTTTATGATAAATGAAAAAACTTATACCATTTAAAGGACAATAATAAAATGAACAGCCACGTACTCACCAACTAGAACCAAGTAGAACATTACAGCCCCCAGAGTCTCCCGTTTTACCCTCCCTATCCCGGTAGGTAACCACTGTCCTGTGTACTGTGTTAATGGCCGTGTCTGTACCTATCCCTAAACTAGGTGTGGGTTAATGTTACCTGTCGGTGAACATCGTATGTGTGGATTCATACAGTACCTGTTTTGTGACGTGCTTCTTTCAAGCACTGTGGTTCACATGTGTGTTGTAGAGGATTATTCACATTCAGTGCTGCATATAATTCTAGTGTGTGAACACACACAGTCCAGGCACCCAGTCGAGTGTTGACAGCATTTCAGTTGTTTGCAGTCTGGGGCTGTCATGGTCATTGCTGACATAAACATACTTACATTTACCTCCTGGTGCACATGGGCACGGATTTCTCTAGAAATACCCTTAGTAGCAGAATTGCTAGACTGTAGAGTCCATGCATTTTCATCTTTGACAGATAACCACCAAACATTTTTTTTCAAGGAGGTTGTACCAATTTATACTCCCAGTTGATGCTCCACATCTTCAACAACACCTGGTATTCTCCATATTATTAATTTTTGCCAGTCTAGTGGATGTGAAGTGGTATCTCCGTGTGTGCATTTTCCTGATTGTCAATGAGACTGAACATCTTTTGTTTCTTTTTTTCCTGTGTTGGTTAGCATTTACTGCAAAACAAATATCCCCAGAACTTAAAGCTTAAAATAACATCCATTTAGCTGACAATTCTGTGTGTTGGCTGGGGTTACTGGATGGCAGGGACGGCTGGGGCTCTTTCCACGTGGCTTCTTGTCCTGCAGCAGGCTGACCTGGGCCTCTTCATGTGGTGGACTAAGGGTTACAACAAGCAGCACCGGGGGGGGGGGGGCAGACCGCAGTGTGCAGTCACTCTTGAACCCTCTGCCTGCGTTGGGGTGTTGTTGCCTCATTGGCCAGAGTAAGCCCCGTGGCCGCCCAGGCAAGGGCAGTGTGGAGGGAGCTCTCCAAGGCCCTGCAGGGAGAGGGAACCCACAGGAGGCTCTTCCTATGTAGCCCCCACAAAGCCACTGCCTTTTTCTCTTTGGAGTTGTTGGTCTTTTATATTGATTGGTGGGAGTTCTTTAAATAGTCCAAATACTAAATCTTTAATAGTTATGTGTGTTGATTGTGGATCAGTAGAAGTTTTTAAATAAATGAGGTCAACAAAATAATCATAATAATGGTGTGTTTTCTGGGCTAAATTTACAAAACTTTGCAGTGTAAAACAAATACAACTTTTTTATCTCAAAGCAGGCACTGAGATCAAACTACTAGAACTGACCAAATCCACCTTCTGCATCTGCTGTACTTCATAACCAGCTATTTTAGGAAGGGTCCCTAAAAGGAGATGTGGGTTTGCAGGACTGGTGAGGCAGAGGAGCAGCTTGGCGGTGCTGGTTAGGGAGGGCGGGACCCCAGCACTTAGGGGAGTCAGCTCAAATAAGTGCACCTCTCTTTGCAAAGTCTCTTCAGAATTTCTAAATTAACCGTGTTCATTTAGGAATATACGTTATATTCTGCATAACTTGGTTTTCATAAAATTATCTTTAATACAGAATTTAATATACTAAGAAAAATGCGAAGTTTTAAAAAAATGTTTTCTAAAAATACGCTGAGGTATAAGAGGATGGATATTAAGGGTCTAGCTTTGAGTTCTCTTCCCCTTGTTCTTAAGTGGGCAAAAATACCCCCCAAAGCCAGGCGGGTACTTCAGGGTTGCGTCACGCGGCGCCCGAGGGCGGGGTTCCGCAGCCGGCGCCCTGGGAACCGCACTTCCCCGCCCGCGCCGGGCGGGGGCGCCGAGCGGGCGGCGCGCGTGGCCTGTGCGCCCGGTGGTGACGGCCGGGGGACACGGGGGGAGGCTGGCGCTTCCTCTGGAGATGTGAGGCGTCGCCAGAAGCAGTTTCCGTCTTCAGAGAAGGGTCTGCGTGCAGACTGCAGGTGTGCAGGCTCGAGCGTGCACGGCTGAACCGTGCCCTGGCGGCGGCCTTCGAGGGTCCCGGGGGTGCCCGGGCCGCCGCTTTGGCCCCCGCGCAGGTCCGGGGCTGGGGGCGCGGTCGCCCCCCGGGAGCGCGGACGCAGCACG